TGGGTCTGTGCTCAGGGGTCACTCCAAGTGGTGCTTATGTGTTATGGGGGTTGATTCAGGGTCAGCTGTGTGCAAGGCAAGTACCTTAACACCTGTATTATATCTCTGGCCCTTGACTTGTTTTTTAATTTCCTATACTAATGTTCTCTGGATTGAAATATTATAATTATTAGAAGTATGAACTTCTAATATTCTGAATTATTTAAATATGTATATTTTAGTTTTTATGTTTGTAGAGAAAGCTGTAGTATCAAATGAAGTTTGTCTTCCAGGTTGATGTCATTAATGCATAGAAGAAAGAGTAGTTCTCAGTAGAACAGAGTGGAGGAATCAAGATTATCAACGCATATATTCAAAGATCATTGTTTTGTGGCCTGGAGTAATAGGAAGCAGCAGCAGTGATACTTGCCTTGCATGTCACCAAACTGAGTTCGATTCCCAGCACCCCCTTTGGTTTGAGTCCGCCAGAAGTGACCCCTGAGTGCAGAGCCAGGAGTCAGCCAGAGAGTCGGGAACGAGCACCATTGGGTGTGGCCCTCAAAAACTAAATAAAAAAAAAATAATTGTTTTGTTTTGCGATTCTGAGGCCTGACCCGTGGCCTCCTTCACATATGAGTGTACGTGGTGTATGCTACAACTGAGCTACAACCCTGGCAGAGACTTTTTCCGTAGTTTATAGATCTGTGTGTGAATTGAGTCAGTTCACATTTTTTATAGAAGTGACACTGAGAAATGTTGTCACATAAACTTGTAGATAGGAATGGGAGGCATTTATTGTAGCAGTAACACTCAATTATTTGAATTCCTTCTGACATATATGCCAAAATTACATCATGATCTGTCATCAAAAATTATTTTTAATGATCTGTCAGCTGACAACTCAAAGAGTTCCTCCAAATTTTGTATAGAGTAAAGAATTAGAAACTATCTGATTGGCAAAATAGGTCAGATCATTCATTATCTACTTCGCTTTTTCTGGGAATTATGTCTTATATAAAGTTTACCAATACTTTGAAGTCTAATGGCTATTAAATATCCATGTTATTCTTTAATTTACCTTGTATCCAACATATTTGGATGAGTTGGGGAAATTAAAATACTATTTTAGTTCACCTTTCGCAATTTATTTTGTCATATATTTTTACTCTGGCTATGCTTCTAAATAGTAGTTTTGTCAAAACTTTGTGGCTACAGATTCACTCTTTCAATTATAGGAAATGAATACAAAATAACCTAATTGGCAAAGGAGTTTTCATCGCCAATGCATCCGGCCAAATTACTTATTTTCTTATTTAAAAAAAATTCTGACTTCATTTTTTGTTTCTTATAAACTATTTTGTACACATTCCCCTGACAACTGTCTTAATTCCAAAAACAACAAAAGCAGAACACAAATTAATTCCACTGCCTGAAACATCACTTAAAAGTGACATGACTTTGATGCCCTGGACCTAATATTATATTTAGCATTTAATAGCAGCATCAGTGCTCCCTTAGTAAAGATACAGCGGAGTCCAAAGCCTTTTTTGAAAAATAAGTCTTGGGTCAGAGAGATAGTACAGCAGGTAAGATGCTTGCCTGCATACAACTAATCCTGGTTCAATTCTGATACCACTTACGCTCCCAGCACTGCCAGGAGTAAGCCTAAATAAACACTGCAGAGTGTGGCCCAAAAGTGATTCCCAGCAGCTACAGGGCTTTCCTTTCACCTAGTCAGCCCAGGTTGGATCCCTGAGCACAGTCAGGTGTGCCCCTTCTGCACTACCCCTCCCCCCAAAAGTTTCCATTTGTTTTATTTGGTGTCCTAGAACAGTACACACTAATAAAATAATTCGGAGGAGGAGAGAAATAGGGTATGTTTGCTTGTTTTTAGAAAGTGAGAGGGCATGTGAAATGAAACCTGGAAACAGAGTGACTGGAAGTCTGAATGCAAAAAGCATTCTTAGATCAGTCTTGAGGAAAAGCACATGAAGATAGAGGATTTGGGGGCCTGAGCGATAGTACAACCAGGACAGCACAACCTGGATTTGATCCCTAGCACCCCATATGGTACCTCGAGCACCGCTGAGTGTGACTGAAAAACAAAACAAAAAGATGAAGGATTTGGAATTGGATTCCTTTCAATACATGTTTTCTTACACAAGGGTTGCATGTTTGTAACCCTTTAGGGATGTGTCTATTCCAGTTTTAGTGCACTGATCGAAAATAAAGATGAACCGTGGTGTAGAAGTTTGTGAAGAGCTCTAAACTGGGAGCCAAAGTTAGGACTCAGGGGAAGCATGTTTTGGGTGCCGTTAAAAGCAGTAACAATGAGTCCCTGGAGAAGAGAATGTAGGACGAGAATAGAAGAGCCATTCATTTGGGAAGGGAAATGAGTGTTCTCATTTCTCTAGTAAGCAAAGGAGACAAAATAATCAGAGCGGTGAAAGGGGAACCTCTGGATTGTAATTTAGGAGCTCAGAGAGGATTTCAATAAGGTCAGCCAGTGTGTGGAGTGGTGCTGGTGGCTAGAGAATGAGATCTGAAAAAAGAGGTCAGGAAAAAGGCCCCAGCACATTCCACAAGAGAGACTGTCTTACTGCCTGTCGCAGGATCTTATCTGCAGCAAGACATGGCTGCCCTCCACATCACATGTATTCTCACAGGCATTCTCAAGTCCCCAAGCTGAACCAAGTTATCCTGCATGTCGCAGCAGAGAATGGACCCCTCGAGGGCCAGAGCAGAAGTACAGCCGGTAAGGCGGTTGCCTTGCACATGATTGACCCAGATTTGATCCCTGGCCTCCCATATGGTCCCCTGAGCACCACTTGGAGTAACTCCTGAGTGCAGAGCCAGGAGTAAATCCTGGGCATCGCATAGTGTGACCCAAAAAGCCAAAAAGGAAAAAAAAAAAGAAAAGAAAAGAATGGACCTATCTAGCTTGGATTTAGATACAAGGACAGAAAGTTAGTAGATTCATTCTCACTGTCCTGCCTCGGACACTGGCAACTTCCCTACTTTAGGGAGATATAAATGTTTGCTGCATTTATGACCTCTGTGATTCTTCCCAACATCGTGGCCCTTCCCATCGTGCTTCTCTTTCCAAGGGACCCAGAGGACCCTCATGGGCCAAGGACTGTAAGAATTTCCTAACCTGCCTTTGTTGGGGTTTGGTTTGGTTTTGGGATTATGGTTGTGCTCAGAGCTGTTCCTGGCTCAGTGCCCAGGTGCCTGTGGGACCTTGCATTGCCACAAATGGAGCCTTGGCCTCTCTCCACAGCATGTTCTCCAGCCCTTTGTGCTGCCTCTTCAGCCCTGCACCTGCCTGCCTGCCTGCCTGCCTGCCTGCCTGCCTGCCTGCCTGCCTGCTTCCTTCCTTCCTTCCTTCCTTCCTTTCTTTCCTTTTCTCTTTCTTTCCTTTTTTCTTTCTTTTTTAATATTTATTTATTTTGCATTTTGGGTCATACACAGCGATACTCAGGGGTTACTCCTGGCTCTGCACTCAGAAATTACTCCTGGTGGTGCTTGGGGGACAATATGGGATGCCGGGGATTGAACCTAGGTTGAAAGCATGCAAAGCAAATGCCCTACCCACTGCACTATGACTCTGGCTCCCACCTTTCTTTTTTTTTTCTTTCTTTCTGTTTTAGGTTACACCCAGCAATGCTCAGGGGTTACTCCTGGCTCTGTGCTCAGGAATTACTCCTGAAGGTGCTTGGTCGACAATATGGGATGCCAGGGATTGAATCTGGGTCAGCCGCAGGCAAGGCAAACGCTCTAACCACTGTACTATCACTCTGGTCCCCATACCTTTCTTTTTTAGTTCTCCTCTTTCCTCAACATTGTTGAATCTGAGGAATGGAGTTATGCTGTCACCCAGGCTTGCGCTCCTGTAGTTGTGAAGCATGCTGTATTCTGATGACATTGCTTGCTGGGGATCCAAGCTTCCTGGTCATGGCGCCTGTATGCACTATATAGTTGTGCTCTCCAGGAGTCACACCCCTGTTATGGATGCAGTGCTTGGATGTATCTGGTGACAGTGCCAACAGAAATGCCTGCAGACAACACAACTACCAGGCACAAAGCAGAATTCTTGGGACTTCATTCAGTACATAGGGATTGAACTGATAGCCTTATGCTAGCAAGGCAGATATTCTACGACTTCCCTCCTCTCTTGTTTTGATTTTTTTTTGTTTGTTTGTTTTTGGGCCACACCTGGCAATCCTCAGGGATTATTCCTAGCTCTGCATTCAGCGATCGCTCCTGGCAGTGGTTGGGGGACCATATGGGATGCTGGGGATCGAACCCAGGTTGACCTCATGCAAGGTAAACACTGTACCCACTGTATTATCTCCCAGGCCCCAGTCTTTAGTTTCATATTCTCTGGAAAAATAGTTGAGCTAGAGAGGCAGAGAGATAGCACAGAGGGTAGGGCACTTGTCTTGCATACGGTTGACCTCGGTTTGATCCCATATTGTTTCCCAGAGCATCTCTGGATATGGTGAAAAAAATAACCCCAGAAAACAAAACCAAAAAAAAAGTTGTGGTGGAATGGTGATAACCAAAGCCGGAAGTGATGAGAATTGAAGTTATGGTTGACTGGGGACCTAAGAATCTCCTGAGGAACTTAGCATCGGAGGGAAAGAAAAGTGGGATGCTCGCTACAAGGAAAACTTGTTATTTCTAAGACTGATGACCCTCAAACATACTGAGAAAGAAACAGGGAATTCATAGAGGATACTGAAATACGAGAAAGGCAAGATGCCTAGTAGAAAAGAAGCACTCCCGAAGAAAGTGGGAGGGAGGCGCTGGGGTACCAAGTTTGTATTATGTAAGCTGCCTGTGATGATGATCAGTTTACGATGACTCTGTAATTAGGTTGCATTGTGGAACATAAGTATTTGATTTAGTAGGAGGAGCAGGGATCAATCCTGAGATATAGCTTCACACATTAGAAACTTCTGAAGATGACTAAAACTAGTTTCTCATCACAAAATTTTATGTTTTGTAATTTGTTTTAGGTTTAGTATGAGCTTTAATAGACATAATCTGAAATACTACGTACTGCCAAAAAAGCCTAAAAAGATAGCATTTGATTGCTTAGACTGGATCAGAAAACATCATCCACGTGAGTACAGCCATGTGATAAATTATGCCCAGAAGTATAAATGTCTTTCTGATACCATTTAGATTAGAATATGTAAAATTGCATATTAAATACTTCTTTTTATTATAACACTAATTTGCTATTTATAGAGTAGAATATTGCAATTCTCTCAGTTCTGAAAATTATAAAGTCTAATTTGGTTTGATAATAATAAACCCTCACAAAAAATTATTATTAAATAGTCTCTCCTACATACCTATATTGTAATTCTTGGTTTCACTATCTTCCTCTGGCTTCTATGAATAAATTAATTATCAGCCCTTTGTCCTAGTGTCTTCTCTGGGTATGTCTGCTCTAGGCATAGTAACTAAACTTAGTTTCTAAAATTCCTGCCAGTTCTTTTTTTTTTTCCCCTCTGCCAGTTCTTCATATAGAACTTGTTTTCTACTGTTTCGTGGAGAATTTGTTGTTGTTGTTGTTGTTAAACATCTAGATTTTAGATCTTTAATTTTCTGGTTTTAAAAATAGTGTTGAGGCCAGAGAGAGAGAGAGAGAGAGTACAAATAAGGTGCTTACTTTGTATACAGTAGACACTGAGCTCCACCATGAGTGATCCCAAAGCTCAGATCCAGGAGTAAACCCTGGGTAATGCTGAATTTAGGCTTCCCAAAAACAGTGTTTAAGAATTTCTTGCATTAAATTTGTTGTCTAAATATTTCTATAATGTTGGAAAATTTTTTAAAACTTTACATTTAGTTTCGGTACCACACCCAGCAGTGCTCAGGGCTTACTCCTGACTCTGCGCTCAGGGGTCACTCTTGGTGGGCTCGGGACCATGTAGGATACCGGAGATCGAACCTGGATCAGCCACGCACAAGGCAAACACCCACTGTACTTTTGCTTTGGCTCCAATTTTTCTAAGTTTTAAAATTATGAGCAAAACTTTTTCCTAAGTCCTTTGTTAGAGTGACTTCCCAGTTCATAATCCATGAGAAATAAGAGCCCTAGTGCTCATCCAGGTCTGCTGAAGGAATCACTCAGAGGGACGTTTGCGCATTTTCAGTGCACAAAGAGCCCTTGCTTGGATCATTCTGCCTGTGTGATCTTTGTACTGTAAGAGCACTGAACTCTTCATGGTTCAGGCATTTCTAGGAACACTGTAAGTTGTGTTCTTTGTCATGTTAACAGTCCTTATTCCTCAGCACTGTTTGATCTCTTGGCAGATAACTCAGGGATAATTTACTGCCTCTCCAGGCGAGAATGTGACGTAGTGGCTGACACCCTACAGCGAGATGGTCTTGCTGCTCTTGCTTACCACGCTGGCCTCAGCGACTCTGCCCGTGATGAAGTACAGCACAAGTGGGTTAACCAGGATGGTTGCCAGGTAAATTTTAAAAGTGATGTAGACTGGGGCTGGAGAGACAGTCCAGCAGGTAGGGTGTTGGCCTTGCATATGGCTGACCGGGTTCTATCTCTGGCATACCATATGGTTTCCCGAGCACCCCACACAGTAATTCCTGAGTGCAGAGCCCAAGTAACCCCTGAGCATTGCCAGGTATGACCCAAAAAGCAAAAAAGCAAAAGAAAAATTACAAAATATATGCAAGCTATTTTTACCTCAAAGGTAAAACAGGGTGGGAGAGATCGCTCAAAGAGTTGGAGCACATGTTTCGTATGCTAGAGGCCCTGGTTCAGACCCCAGTAACTCACAGTTTCTTTAGTACTGACAACAATGACACTCTAGCAGCGATTTGGGACCAGCCACCAGCACCACCAGTGTGGCCTTAAGACCAATGAATAAAGGCAGTATGCAGGGACTAGGGAGATAGAAAAGGGGTTTGGGCACATGCTTTGCTTGTGCCCAATCCCCTGTTTGGTCCCCAAGAGTATAGGGTTCTGGCAGTGCTCAGGGGACCATATCGTGGCAGGGATTGAATCTGGATTTGCTGCTTACAAGGCAAGTGCCCTACCTGCTCTTCTATCACTTCTCTAAAAACATATTTTCTTTTTCTTTTTTTTTAATTTTTATTAGTGAAACACCTTGAGGTACAGTTGTAGACTTACAAATTTTTGTGCTTGGGTTTCAATCATATAATGATCGAGTACCCCTCCCTCTTTCACACTTCTCTTTTTTTTTCCTTTCCTTATATTTATTTTTTGAATCACTGTGGGAAAAGTTACATAGCTTCCAAGATTAAGTCTCGGTCATACAATGATCAAATACCTTTCCCTTCACTGGTACATATTTTTCACCACCAAGAACCCCAATATACCCCCCTCCCAATGCCTGTGAGGCATATGGTTTCTACTTAACTCTCTCTCTACTTTGATTACATTCATTATTTCAACAAAAGATTCACCATTATTGTTTAGAATTTCCCCCCAACAATCAGAATTGCTGAAAAGGCATTGTGAAATAATTTGATTTCTATAGCTGGTTATGAGAACCATAGCGGCTGTGCGATTTTGGATTTCTGATATTTTATTAGGTAAGTCTGGAGGGATTTCTGCAAAGATCCAGATAATTACGAGATTGGTTTCTGTGCGTCTGGTGTTATGGCCATGCCGGAGAGCCACTCGTAGGGGGCAACTCGTGGCCTCGGTAGGGCGAGAAGGACAAGCCGGTACCACCCCCCTTCCCATGAGACTGCAGTTGCCCCATCACTACCAGCTCATACCTGGCCTTCCAATAAGCTCTGAGGTGGTGGCCACCTTGCTGGGGGCGGGGAGGGGGGGGTGCAGAAGGGAGCAACACCCTTTCCCTCAAAAACATATTTTCTTGACACTTCTAAATTTGTTCTTTCACAAAATAAAAATAAAAATTTCCTTAAATATAATTCACATACTAAAAATTTTATTTTTTCAAAGTTTATAGGTCAGTGGTTTTTAGCATATCTTACAAGATTGTGCAGCCATTACTGTTAACTCCAGAACATTTTGTCTTCCCCAAATACATATACAGTACCCCAAATACAGTACCCATGAGCAGTCACTTCTTGTGACTTCATTCCCCTAGTCCTTCCATCATTAATCTGTTAACCACTCCTAATGCTTCTGTTGATTTTTTATTTTAGACATTTTAAGTAACTTTGCAGAATGCTTTTAAGAAGTAAGCTATTTTATTTATATCTTTGGGGAAATTTATTATTATGACAAAATAATACTTTATTATATAGGAATACCACTGCTCATTTATCCCATCATCATTTGGTATGCAGTTGGGGCTATTCATGTTTTGTTTGTTTGCTTTTTTGTTTCGGGGCCACACCTGGCTGTGCTCAGTGCTTCCTCCTGGCTCTGCACTCAGAGATAAACTCTTGGCAGGGTTCCAGGGATTTTATGGGGTGCCAGGAACCAGACCCGGTCGACCTCATCTTGGGCAAGTGTTGTACATGCAGGGCCTGCTGTACTATCTCTCCTACCCCAGTATCTACTTTTTTCCCTTTGTGAATCATTTTTCTGTGAATGGTTGTGTACAAGTTTTTCTATGCACATACATTTTCAATTTCTTGGGTACATACCTAGGACCTTAATTACTGAGTAATATGATACTCTCTTCAACTGCTTTTCAGGGAGGGCCTCTCAAGCGCTCTGGGAACTGGGGGTCATTTGCAGCAATCTTCAGCCAGCTGGGCATGATGCGTTGGTGCTAGCACCAAGAATGTGGCATTACATGGACCCGGTGGTGCTGGGGACCACTAGCAATGTTTTGGGGGTGGAGAGGATGAATCTGAAACATGGGTTCAACCCAAACTACTGGATTATCTCCCAAGCCTGATGGTTAGCTTTTTGAAAACTGCCAAACTGTCTTTGAAAGCATCTGTATAAAATCTACTTCCCCATCAGTGATGCCTTGAGATTCTGATGTCTCCATCTTTTGACAGCATTTTTGTTTCTTTGTTTTTTTGTTTTTCTACCATACCCAGCCATGCCCAAAGCACACCCTTGGCTCTGCCCTCGGGATCATTCCTTACAGGACTCTGGAGACCGTATGGGGTGCCAGGGATTGAACCAGGTTGGGCATGAGCAAGGCTAGTGCCCTACCAGCTGTTCTCTTTCTCTGATTCCTCTTTGACAGCATTTATTTTATTTTCCCTATCGCTTCTTGGCCTTTTGGCTAAGATCAAGTGTAATATCTGTTAATATTTTATTTTTCCCTTATGTTCATCCTCATGAATGTGGTATTCACAAGAAAATGGAATCTCACTAAGATTTTGACTTATTTTTTTTCTAATAACTAATGATGTTGAACATCTGTTTCTAAACTGGAAAATTTGTCACACAAGTCGATCAAACAGAGAAGCTGAGAACACTAGTCAGCCCACACTTTGATGGTATCATCCTTGAATAGATTCCCCTAAATAAAGAATGGGTTTGAGGAAAATACTGTTAGCCTGTGAATGCTCACTAACAAAAGAAGAAATCATTACCCTAAAGATGAGCACAAAAATATTTCTCAAAATTATTTTTGAAAAAAAAATTTTATTTTTGATTGGAAAACAAAAGGTCTTAAAATAAGAGATACAGCCCAGAAAGGTGTAAGGAAACTTATGTGATCTGGAAACCGTTTGCCGTATGAAAAGTACAGGACAAAATGAAAAAGAAATGAAAATACAGCTTATCCAAACAAGAAAATGAAACAAATAAAATCATATATGTAGACAAATGATCCTCTCAAGGCCCAACATTTGAATCAGTGATGCAGTGAATGACTGGAGAATACAAAAGAAAGAAGATGAAAATTAAAGTGAATAAAGTCAAATATGTGTTGGTGACAGGGCATATGTATCAACCTAAAAAATTATAGTAAGGGCTGGAGCAATAGCACAGCAGGTAGGGCATTTGCCTAGCACACAGCCGACCCGAGTTCAATTCTCCGCCCCTCTCGGAGAGCCCGGCAAGCTACTGAGAATATCTCGCCCGCGCAGCAAAGCCAGGCAAGCTACCCGTGACGTATTCAGTATGCCAAACACAGTGGCAACAAGTCTCACAATGGAGACGTTACTGGGCCCGCTTGAACAAATAGATGAACAATGGGAGGACAGTGCTACAGTGCTACCAAGAAGGAAGTCAGGTTAGTTAGATTTATTATAAATTTTTAACAAATGCGCATTTTAGAGGCCAAAGAGATTGTACAGCAGGGAGGGCACTTGTCTTGCATGTGGACAACCTGGACTCGATCCCCCAACACCCCATATTATCCTGTGAGCCCCTCCAGGAGTGAGAGTGACCCTGAGCACAGATAGGCATGGCTTGGGCAGGAGGGGTAGGGCTTTTTTCTGTCACACCTGGCCAAGCTCAGGGGTTACTCCTGGCTCTGCACTCAGGAATTACTCCTGGCACTGCCTGGGACCATATGGCATGCCAGAGATTGAACCTGGGTGCAGGTGCAAGTCACATGTCCTATCCGCTATACTATCACTCCATTACCATGTATGGCTTTTTTTAAAAAAAGAAAAAATACATATATGTGTGTGTGTGTGTGTATGTATGTGTATTAACAGATGTCTGCCAACCTTCAAAAAGTTCCAACATTCTTTTCCTTTGATAAACTTTTTCTGAAGTTTCCCTGAAAAAATACTCCAGTGAAAATAACAAAAAAATTTGACAAGAAAATAATAACAAACACTGGCTTTGCAATATGTTATAAACAGATCAATGCATCAAGTTTAGAAATAAAACAGAAAACATGTAAATACAATGTGTCATAAAGAAGGTATTAAAAATGCATAGGGGTTTGGGACCATAAGAGAGAGCTCAGTGGCCTGAAGAACTTATATGTGGGAGGCCTGGGTTTTATCCCAGACTCTGGGTGATCTCCCAAGAATAGAGCCAGTAGTAGTCCCTGAGCATTATAATGTGTGGCCTAAAAACAACAAAAATATTTTAATAGCATTTAAAAAGTAGGAACTAAGAAGGAAGATCTAATGAGTGGTATTGGTTACTTAGTAGAGTCTTTTTATATCCTCAATAAAATAAATCATAGGTACATAACAGTTTGGTACTTTCAGATTATGAACTGTGAGTGGAGAAGAATCTCAGCTTAAGTATAGCCCAGTGGGGCCAGAATAATAGTACAGTGGGAGGGTATTTCCCCTGCACTTGACCAACCTGGCTTCGATCCCTGGAACTCTGAGCACTGCCAAGAGTGATCCTTGAACACAGAGCGAGGAGTAAGCCCTGAGCACTACTGGGTATGACCCAAAAAACAAGGGGATAAGGAAATACAGGGCTGGAGAGAAAGTACAGTGGGTAGGGCACTTGCCTGGTGTGCATTTGATGCTGGTTTGATCCCTGACATCGAAATGGTCCCTAAGCCTGCCAGGAATGATCCCTGAGCATGGACATGACCCAACCTTTACCCCTCCTCATCCTGAAAAACTAGAATGATTTCTTGAAAAGGATTTTTTTATTTTATTTTTTTGTTTTGGGGCCATGCCCAAATGTGTTCAGGGCTAACTCCTGGCTCTGCACTCAGGAATCACTCCTGACTGTGCTCGGAGGACCATATACGGTACCAGGGATCGAACCCGGTCTGCTGTGTGCAAGGCAAGTGTCCTACCTACCGTAATGTTATAGTATTTATATGCTAGTGAGGGAAAAAGGTAGTTTAAGACAGAATTCAAACGTCTTAACGTATGATTTGAACCATAGAAAAGAAAATGAAATCAAATAACTGTCACTGTCCTCCCATTGTTCATCAGTTTGCTTGAGCGGGCCCGGTAATGTCTCCATTTTGAGACTTGTTGCTACTGTGTTTGGCATATTGAATACGTCGCGGGTAGCTTGCCAGGCTTTGCCTTCGGGCGAGATACTCTTGGTAGCATGCTGGGCTCTCCGAGAGGGGCGGAGGAATTGAACCCGGCTTGGCCGGGCTGGCTGCGCGCAAGGCAAACACCCTACCCACTGTGCTATCGCTCCAGCCCCGAAATAGAATAATAGACCAGAAAAAAGATAGCAGCCCCTAGCCCAGCATTGCTGGGGACAGCACTCACCTGCATTAGACCATGTGCAATTTGGAGCTGCCAACTAAGAAAATTAATAAAGCCAATTTTTTATAGTTGTTCATAGTCTTTATAGTAAAAATATCCTATAATGAAGATACATATGTACACATTTACATAGCCATTGAAAGACTCAGAACACAAGTATGGTTCAAAGAAACTGATTTTTTTTAACCTAATTGTTTTTTTCCTAAGACTAGCTAATCCTTACAGTCAACATATAATATAACCAGCTAGACAGCTTTGATCAGCTTAGATTTGTGAGGTGGAATAAAACGTGGTTGTTTTTCTTCACAAAGAAATTATTGTAACCTAAGTTTTACAGCCAACACAAAAGGAAATAACAAAGCAGGTTTTCCCAGTTTCGGGAAACAAAGGATTTTTTTTTCCCCAGAAGGGCTCGCATCATTGCCGACAGACTGCCTCCCCTTATGGGCTCTTCCAGCCTTGCAAGACACATCTGAGCTTCTGGGACCCCTGCCCACTGCACTCTTTGGGCCTGTGGCTGACATGGCTCACTCATGGCTTCCCCTTGGAGGATGCTATGCCTTGGTAAGAGTGCCATTGTCAGACGGATGACTCATCTCCAGAGCAGCACTGCCCTTCCCATGGTTGATAAGTGTAGCCACTGCTGTCCCCTGCACCGCTGCTTGCACTCACTGAAATCTGAAATCCTGTCTTTAGTCCAGTCTGGCTGCCAGATAGTTCAGTTGCTCTTAAAATATGGTTACCATAACAATTCACTTTTTTGTCATTTCTTATTTTGTTTCTGAGTCACACTTTTTCGTTTTGAGTATTGCTCGGGGCTTACTCCTGGCTCTGTGCTCAAGGATCACTCCTGACAGGGTTTGGGGGACCATCTGGGGTACCGGGAATTGAACCCTGTTTGGCCACATGCAAGGCAACCGCCCTCCCCGCTGTCCTGTCACTCTGGCCCCCTCCTCTCACGTTTGCAAATGTGGTGCTCACTGGGGTTGTAATGAGGTTGTTGTGCTCACACAGGACTGTGTGCTCCCTGAGGTTTGTACTTGTTCCATGTCAGGCCTGCACATGTTCACACAAGTCTTGGTTGTGGTGCTCACCAGAGGTCACATCTTCTGAGTTACAGTTGCCGTGCCAGGAATCGCAGGTCTCAGAGCTGCCCAAATCAGACTTAGCGCACATGGTACACCAGGGATTTGAACTTGTGGCCTTGAGCTTGCAAGACTAGTATTCATAAGCCCCTGAGCCATTCCTCTGGGCCATGGAGAGAAGTTTTTGTTTTTTTCAATTTACTTTTTTTTATTGAATCACTGTGAGATAGATCCTTACCAAGCTGTTCATGATTAAGTTTCAGTCGTACAGGTGAGTGCAGCAGCCAAGTGTATGCCATCTTCAGTCACCGCAACAGTTTCGGGGTTTTTCCTTTGAAATTCACTGACAATTCAAAAATGGGATAGAGGCGAACTTCTGCCAATCCAGACACTGGTAGGTGAAGCAGGGCAGAAAGCCGCAGAGAAGCTCATCAGAGAAGCTAATCCCTGTAAACTCCGCGCTGGTTCAGAGCAATGCTTTTTTGACCACAACCTAGAATATCGCAACGATGTGAACAGGGGCCCGAGAGATCGCACAGGGAGCAAGCACGGCGCTTGCCTTGCAGGCAATCAACCCCTGTTTGATCTCCAGCACAGAGGATCCCCAGAGCAACACTAGGTTTAACCTTTCAAAATTAATTTTTATTAAACAATGAGTTTATCTTATTATCTAATTCTTACTCTGGAGAACCTGGCAGGCTACCGAAAGTATCCTGCCTGCATGGCAGAGTCTGGCAAACTCCCCGTGGCGTCTTCAGTATGCCAAAAACCAGTAACAATGATGGTCTCATTCTCCTGACCCTGAAAGAGCCTCGAATGTGGCACTTTCTAAAATCTCAGGGCTAGGACGAAGGAGTTGTTACTGGTGCCTGCCTGAGGAAATCGATGAACAACAGGATGACAGTGAAACAGTGAGTTACCTTAATGGACTAGAGCACTTGTTTTGCATGTGGGAACCCCAGGTTAAGTCCCAGAAGTGCTGGGTATGACCAAAAAAAGAACCTGCAGTGACAGCACATGCACGGGCAATTATAGTTCATTTCATTATCTTGACTTATAACACCAGCCGTTTAAATAAGAAAGAGCCTGCCACACCAAACTTCTCTTACCTTTTGCCTTCTTGGAGCTAATTAAATCTCAAGTCCTGTCTTATGAAAACCTCTTGCTGAGCATGTTAAATTGGATCAGGGCTGGAGAGATAGTACAATAGGTAAGGCGCTTCCTTGTATGCAGCCAACCTGGAGTGATCCCTAAGCATAGAGCCAGTAGTAAACACTGAGCATAGCCAGGTGAGGCCCAGAACAAATGTGAATCAAATTAAAATAGTAGGCTATTGTATAGAACACTTCTTGGAGGCATAACTGGTGTTTGTAGGTCATTCGTGGTGGTGCTAGGAGGTTGGTATGTGGTACCAAGGATCAAACCCAAGCTTCCTGCATGTACTCCAGCCTGTTGAGCTAAATTTTTTTCATTGAATCACCGTGAGATAGTGACTTACAAAGCTGTTCATGATTAGGTTTCAGTCATACAGTGTTCCAACACCCAACCTTCCACCAGTGTATTTTTTTCTGCACCAGAGTCCCCAGGTTCCATCCCGTCACCCCATACTCCCCAGCCTGCGTGCTCCTTTCTCTCTCTCTCTCTCTCTCTCTCCCTCCCCACATCCTCCCTCTCCCTCTTTCCTCCTCTCTCCCCTATTTCCCCCTCTCTCTTCCCCTTTTGGGCATTGTGGTTTGCAATATTGACACTGAAAGGTTATCAAGAATATCCCTTTACTTTTTAACACTAGTTCTTGTCCAGCTAGAATATGTTTTAAATAAGAAAAGGGATAAAGTTCTAGAAGCATCTGTCATTAAAATATTCTTCAAGCGGATTATAAGTCTAATAGAAATTTACTTTCCTGTCAGGTTATCTGTGCAACAGTTGCATTTGGAATGGGAATTGACAAGCCTGATGTGAGGTTTGTGATCCATGCGTCTCTCCCTAAATCTGTGGAGGGGTACTACCAGGAATCTGGCAGAGCTGGGAGAGACGGGGAAATATCTGACTGCCTGCTTTTCTACACCTATCACGATGTGACCAGACTGAAGAGACTCATATTGAGTAAGAGACATTTCCAGTCTTGTGATAATGGTCTACTCCTGCTTTTGTGGTACTTTCATTTCATTCCACTTTTCCATACTCAAAAGAAAATAGAGGGTATAGAAATGAAAATTTCACTAGGGCTGGAGCAATACAGTAGGTAGGGCGCTTGCTTCCCTTTTACACGACTGACCAGGATTCGATCAGTGGCATCCCATATGGTCCTGAGCACCACCAAAAATTATTCCTGAGCACAGAGCCCAGAGTCAGCTTTGAGCACCACCAGGTGTGCTCCCCCCGTACACACACACACAAAAGGAACAAAAGGAAAGTTTTTTCTCCTTAATTTTTATCATAGAATTCATCTTACATAAAACTCAATTGTTATAAATGTATATGAAGCAGAAAATTTCCAAGTCATGTCTTGCATACTTTTCTGCAAGAAATAACTCTAGTTATTGGTTTCCTTTGTATTTTTCCTGACCCAGTTTCTTCATGTATTTTTATATATAATTACTCGGGATAAAAAGGCTGTCAGGGACCCTAAAACTGGGAAAGCTGTGCAAGAAAGAGACTCCTGTGCGGTCAGTGTGTGGAAGAGAGTGAAAGCCAAGTTGGAAGGCTAGGATGTTGATCCTAACAGGAGGATGTCAGTTGCTGAACAGGTTGACTCTGTCATTAAGGAAGCAACTAATCTAGATAACTTGGCTCAGCTGTCTGAAGGTTGGACAGCCTGGATGTGAAGGGCAAGCAGTAGATGAGTCTGGATAAGCGAGGTCAGCTGTCCACCAGAATCAACTCAGCCTCAGGCATCCAAAGCCACACCACAGTCGGTGGTGATGCAACTGGGGCCTTACTCTGAGGAAACCTAGGAAATCTCGGTGTGCTCGGAAGTGAATCCTGCAGGGCAGCTGCACTCAGGGATACGCCCCACACCATGGCCTGCACCCCAGAATCAAGGGTGAAGGAAAGCCAGCTCACCGCCTGAACACGGAGATTGTCTTTCTGCCGCGACAGAACAGCTGCACACGTGTCGGGAGGTTAGCTGCAGAAAGCAGCGGGGACTCTGGAGCACAGAGTGCCTCGGAGCTCCATTCCACCTGACCCTTCGTGTGCGCCCCAGGAAAACACCCCACTCAGAAACAGAAAACTGGGGCCGCGAAGAAATCACAGCCAAGGAAGATTGGATGCATGCAGATTCTCGTGTAACACTTTGTTGCTTGGCAGCAGTGCTGGTTGGGTTGACCAGTGAATACAATAAGGCTCCGCGCTATGAATTTCAGAAATGGACTGAAAGCGGAGAGTTATGTAACAGATACACTACGTTGGAAGAACTTCCGAAATGAAGGGAAAACAACATCAGCCCACACCCTCCTTCCCCACCCTCCACCTCCCTGCCCGCCTGCCTTTCACCAGATCCCATAGATTAGCCATCTTTTCAATTCACTCTCATTTCCACCCTTTTCTTTCTCCCACGTCTGTCTCGACACTGTTAACAGCCTACATTTGGAGCGATCAACAGCAGTTTCTCCAAACCCCACTGTTACATGGGAAATTCAAGGATGGTTTAAAGGTCTGAAGATCACACACAAATCTAATTCTGGCTATTCATTTCTGTGATTTTATCATGTACAGTTTCCAGAATTGTCACTGTGCATTCAAAAGTAACAACTCGAACAGACGTTCAATTTGCGGCATGCCTCCTCTGCTTACGTTGTGCATTTGGGAAGGTCATTCAAAATTTCCCTCTTCTGTTACAGCAGTAGTTTTCTTTTTTCTCCCTTAGAAAATAGCTAATCTCCAATGTAATCGTTTATCTTTTGAAAAACCAGGATGGAGAACCTACTTGAGTTTACATTGTTGATGACAGATTAATAATAAAGTGATGTTCTGATGGGGAAAAAAAAATCACGCAGGAAGGCAAAGAGTTGAAAATAATGACATTTCTATGCTGCCATCCAGATTAAGAAATAATAAAATTCCAGTCTTCTAGTTTTGTCCCTCTACTCTCGTTAGAAGTAGCAATAACTTGTAGTGTTTACCTTTCCCAGATGCATTTGTTTTATAGTGAGTGTAAATGGAATTACATGTTGTTTTTGTCTATTGGGATGGGACATGAAGGGTTCTGTTGGGCTACCCCTGGCAGTGCTCTGGAGGACCATTGTGGTGCCCTTAAACCATGGCTGCCGCATGCAAGGCAAACACCTTACCTTTCTGGCCCCTCTATGTTGTTTGAAATTTCTGCAATATATATTTTTTTCTACTCTGATAGTATATTTCACTACATCCTTCATCTCTTTTAGTGGAAAAAGATGGAAACCGTCATACAAAAGAAACGCACTTCAATAATTTATATAGTATGGTACATTACTGTGAAAATATAACAGAATGCAGGAGAATACAACTTTTGGCTTATTTTGGTGAAATTGGATTTAATCCTGATTTTTGTAAGAAGTACCCAGATGTTTCTTGTGATAATTGCTGTAAAACAAAGGTAAGTAAGAAAGTTTTTAATTCTCTGTAATTAAGTTAACAAGTTATTTTTTCCTAAAAATGCTTTGTTTTTATTTGATTAAATTATAATTATATAGGCTACACTCTACTTATATAAGCATAAAATCCTAATATAAAATTTCCATATATTATTCTTAAGTATAATATATGGAAATGTGATAATGATGTGATAATGATGATGAAGATGTAATTCATTAGGCTGATCTTGCAAATGGCACCCCAAGTTATCACTGCTACTGCATATACCCAGCTTCCTAGTCTGATCTATCACTTGTCCTGTTGTTCATCTGTTTGTTCTAGCGGGCGCCAGTAATGTCTGCATTCGTCCCTGTTGCTGGATAGAGTAGCCCGGTGGCATACTGGGGACTCTTTCAGAGTCAGAGAATGAGACCCATTATTGTTACTGTTTTTGGCATATTGAATACATCACAGGTAGTTTGCCAGGCTCTGCCATACAGGCAAAATACTCTCAAGCTTGCCGGGCTCTTCAAGAGGGATGGAAAGCTCCAGGAAAAAGTGTGTCGCTCTCTTCCGGGAGCTTTGTTTTATAGTCTCTGGATCTTGGCCGTTATGAGATTACATGGCACCGGGGGCATTTTTGTGGGTGTGGCTGCCAAGCTGCTGGAAAACTGGGGATCTGGGGAGAGGAGGCCCAGTCCTGATCCAAGGAGGCTTGGAGATCTCAGCCACGGGTCCCGCTTACCTGGGTTCCTCTGTTGGTTCCCTCATGGATGAGGCTCGTCCAAGTGTGTGGAGAGTGGCCTTGAGTCTGTCTGTGACTGAGTTCTGGAGGTTTCCGGCTGCTAGACTCTACTTGGGGTGGGGAGGGAAACTCAACCCGCCCCCCTCCAAGGGACCCTGGTGACAGGAGATTCTGCCAAGTCTGATCCATTAGGAAAAGGAAACAGAAAAGAACAATCCTAAATTTTGCCCCTTCAGGGGCTGGAGCAATAGCACAGCAGGTGGGGCATTTGCCTTGCATGCGGCTGACCTAGGTTCGATTCCCAGCATCCTATATGGTCCCCTGAGCACCACCAGGGGTGATTCCTGAGTGCAGAGCCAGGAGTAACCCCTGTACATTGCCAGGTGTGACCCAAAAAGAAAAAAAAAATTTTGCCCCTTCAGTAGCAAATGCCAAAAAGACTTGAGATAGGATAATACGAAATGATGTTATTTTTTCTTCTCAATTTAGAAAAGTTAGGTGAAGGTAGGTTACAGTGTTGGCTTTAAGGGGCCAAACAGGAGAAAATGACATCTTAGTAACTTAGGTTTGAAAAAATGTAATTGTACTCTGAAAAAAAAATTTTATTTTTTTAATGAACTGAAAGTTTTTATTGAAAGAAACACGAGAGATGTGAGAGGAAAGAGAGAGAGATGTGTTCAAGAGAGAACAAGCAACTGACTCTTCAACTCAGAGCTCCCTTGAATACGCATCTTGCTTTCTTGTCTCTTTGTTCCTTTGATTGCTTTTTCCACTCTGGAGAAGCCTGTGTTCTCTCTTGAATACGTTTGCCTTTTTTCTATCCTCTCAGATCTTTCCTTTTTGGTTTGTGTTTTGGGCCACACCCAGCAATGCTCTGGGATTACTCCTGGCTCTAGACTCAGGAATCACTCCTGGCAGTGCTTGAGGACCGTACAGGGTACTGGGGATTGAACCTGGGTCTGCCATGTGCAACGCAAATGCCCTCCTGCTGTACTATTGCTCCAGCCTCAGCCTTTCTAAATAGGTTTAGCTTAACAAAAACTACCTTGCTTCAAAAAAAAGTAAAAAAACACAGGTTTCTCCAGAAGGGGAGAAAAGCTTGAATATAATATTTTTAAAATACCATTAACCTGTAAATATTCAAAATGACCCAGTAAAGAGAGGTAGAATATTTTAAATTCATCTCTGGAGATTTCATCTTCATTATAATAATAATAACTTGTATACTATGTAATCAGATCAATTAGATTACTTAATAAATTTTTTTAAACTATAAAGAATAATGGGAATAACTTCTGGGTGAATTTTTCATCATCTGTTCTAAAAGTAACCTTGAGAAACTCTTAATTAGATCTGTATGGTACCTATCATTTTAATTCTGGGTAAAGTAAAGTAAAGGCCGGCCCTCCTGTTGATCATCGATTTGCTCGAGCGGGCCCAGTAACGTCTCCTTTGGAGACTTTGTTGTTACTGTGTCTGGCATATCAAATACGTCACGGGGAACTTGCCAGGCTCTGCCGTGCGGGCGAGATACTCTCGGTCGCTTGCCGGGCTCTCCGAGAGGGGCGGAGAAATCGAACTCAGGTCGACATGTTGGCTGCGTGCAAGGCAAACACCCTACCGCTGTGTTTATTGTACTCTGTAGAGTGTTTTTACAGTCAAAGTTAAAAATGTCTATCCTGAAGATTCATGAGTGGATATGGTATGGAGAGGAAACAGACATATATTCTTCTTTGTCTTTGTCTTGTTTTTTTTGGAGGGCTGCACCCAGGAGTGCTCACGGACTGTCCTCAGAACTGATCCCTGGCACTTCTGAGGGATCAAATGTAGTAGACTAGAGATTTGAACCTTCTTGGCAGGTGTGAGGCAAGTGCTTTAATCCTTGTGCTATATCTCTGGCTCTTTTTAAAATTTTTTTAAATTAGAAGCCAACACTGGCACAGTTTGGGGACCTGAAATCACTCCTAGCAGAAGTAGAATTCCACCTAGCATGGACCGGGATATTCAGAGGCCACAAGAGCCCAGGCAGTGCTGGTGAGGGCGGGGGATAGGGGCAGGTGGGAAGAGGGACATGATACTGGAGATCGAACTCACAGTCTTGCATATGCTGGACTTGTGTCAGCCCTCAGCTGATTATTCTCATCTTTGCAGCTCTATGCTTGTAACAGGGTAGTTGCAGAGAACTGGGGCATTAGCCAGAGCAGAGGGTCATAGACATTTTTGGTGTGGGAGCTGCAAGCTCCTGGCCCTCTCTACTGACCATGCCCCACCCTGTACACATTGCTAATCAGTTCTCTCATGCAACAAATATTTGTTGTGTCTGCTGGGTCACGGAAATGATTTGGAACAAGACAAAGATCCCTGTCCTTGTGGAACATGCATCCTAGCAGAGGGAGGCCTGAGTACAAGCAGTTAACAGGGAATAAGGGAAGACGAGGCCCTGCAGCATTAATGGAGTTAGAAGTGGGTGGGTTTCAGGGTGCATATCTATCAGGCAACTGAGCACAGGTCAGAATGAAACGGGAACAACCCTCTGGATCTGAGTGTTCATAGCCAAAGCAAAGGATAAAGGTCTCAGTGGGGTAGGGGCAGGCCTGGTATAATTTAGAAGTAACCGGGAAGTTTATATAGCTAAGCAGGCTGAGTGTTAGTGAGGGGCAAAGATCCGAAGGCTGAATAACTGGAGAAAGACGTGATCCTTCGCTAAGATGTTTCAGAAATGCTTTTTGGTGGGGAAGATCAGGAGTTTGGTTTGGCATGTACCAAGTTAGATTCAGAAACTCTGAAAAGAAGCTGTTAGCATATATAAATTTGAATATTTGGCATATACATGGTATTTAAAGCCTGAAGAACAGGGGCTGGAGCGAGAGTAGGGTGTTTGCCTTGCATGTGGCCAACCCGGGTTCCATCCCTGGCATCCCAAAGGGTCCCCCAAGTACCACCAGGAGTAATTCCTGAGTGTAGAGCCAGGAGTAACCCTGAGCATCGCCGGGTGTGACCCAAAAAGAAAAACAATATTTTTTTCTTTCTGGGTCACACCCGGCGATGCACAGGGGTTACTCCTCCTGGCTTTGCACTCAGGAATTACTCCTGGCAGTACTTGGGAGACCATATGGGATGCTGGGAATTGACCGGATCGGCAGTGTGCAAGGCAAATGCCCTACCCGCTGTACTATCACTCCAGCCCAATAAATAAATATTTAAAAATAAAGCCTGGAGAACATATAAAAACTTCAGGCTTGTACGTTTAGATAAAAGGGAGGAAACTATTAAAGAAGAACTAGAAAAAGAAAAAAATTAATGAGACCAGAGGAAACTAAAAAGTGCTGGAAGTGTTGAAAGAAGGAGAGGGAATCCCACCATGGCAAATGCCCACCAGGACTGAGTGGATTCAGCACCATGGAAATCATGGAGATCAGCATCAACTAATTTCAGTAAATACGGCGGATGGAGGCGTTGAATATAGAACTGTGTTTTTCTTCAGGAAAGAAATAATAGCTGCTAGGGGAAATAGAGTCAAGAAAATAGCTCTCTTGGGGGGGTCCTACCCAGCAATTATCAGGGGTTATTCCTGGCTCTGCACTCAGGGATCACTCCTGGTGGTACTCGGGGGACCATATGGGATGCTGGGGATCAACCCCGGATCTACTGCATGCAAGGCAAGCTCCCTACCTGCTGTACTCTCTCAGTCCCACATTCATTTCCTAACATGTTGATGCTAGCACTGCAATTTGTGTTAATTAAAACACATTCAGGCTTGGGGCTGGAGCGATAGCACAGCGGGTAGGGCATTTGCCTTGCACGCGGCCAACCCGGGTTCAATTCCCAGCATCCCATAGGGACCCTGAGCACCACCAGGAGTAATTCCTAAGTGCATGAACCAGAAGTAACCCCTTGTGCATTGCCGGGTGTGACCCAAAAAGCAAAAAAATAAATAAATAAATAAATAAAATAAAACACATTCAGGCTGGAGAGATAATATGTAGGTGAGGCACTTTCTTAGCACACGGCCAACCAAGATTCAATCCCGGGCACCGTCAGGAATAAGCCCAGAATACTGCATGTGGCCCCAAAACCAAAAAGTGGAAAAGGGGAAAAAAGGGAGGGTTAAAACCATATCCAAGTGTGAGCCACCAGTGGTATGTGCCATTGTCAGTGTGTTGATGTGTGTGGAGAAAGCGGAAAAAGGTCAAAGCTGTGGCCCCAAGTAGGCAAGAGCTGTTGGGATCTAGTTCTTAGTTAGGGAGGTTTACTTTAGGAGGTTGGAGCAGCTACTGTAGTGTTAGGAGGGAAAATAAGAAATGTGGTGTAAGGGTCTGGAGCGATAATGCAGGGGGGAGGGTGCTTGCCTTGTATGAGACTGATCTGGATTTGATACCCGGTCCCCCATATGGTGCCCTGTGCCTGCCTCCGAGAGTCATCCCTGAGTTTAAAGCCAGGAGTAAGCCCTGAGCACCCCCAGGTGTGGCCCAAAAACAAACGAGCAAAAAAAGATGTGGTGTGAGTGAGACACTATGGAGAATAAATACAGTGAAGGAAGGTCATGAAGTTTTTCTGTTGCTCAGTTTTCTCAGTGACGTCAAAAGTAGCATCATCGACTGATAGATATGAGAGATGATAGAAGGCAAGGAAGGAAATATGAAATGGTGATCCTAGGAAGGAGTCACCAGCCTTTACTATTAAATTGGTGGAGGAGGTAAGGGCTATACCCAGTAGTGCTCAGGGCTACCCTCTGCATTGCTCAGGGGCCACTTCTGGCAGTGCTGGGTGAATCATAATGGATCCCATAGAACTGAGGGCCTTGTTCATGCAAAGCATGTATTCAAGCCCACTGAACTGTCTCCCCAACGGATCTTTGTCTTAAAGGGCCATAAAGTAAATATTTTGGACTTTGTGAGGCTTAGAATTGCTCCCTTGCCAGGGATGTGCCTCAGCAGTAAAACACATGCCTTGTATGCATCAGGTCTGGGTTCAATTCCCTGCACCATGAAAAAGTACAGTAAAGTACAGAACTGCTGTCTCAGTCACAACCACTCAACTCTGCTATTTTAGCCCAAAGGCAAACATAAACAGTAAATACATAGATTTTTTCCATGACTTTGTTCCAGTAAACTGTAAGTAAAATTCATAGTGAAATTTAAGCAGTTGTACAGTTTAGTTTTGCTGACTGCTAGGAGAATGGGGAAAGAAGATAGAGGATATGATGATTCCTTGGCAGCTTGTGGCCGTGGACTGAATGTGAAAACCGCCGGTATGATGTGTGTGTGTTTCTCCAGCCAAATTCAGCTATACAGGCTGAGTGTGGAAGGCGAAAACAGGCTTGAATGTGCTTTGTCAGTAGTGTAACATCATGACCTAAAGGGGTGTCTAAAGTACTTTATTTGTGACCTGTGGGATTGGTCGAATTAAGAGAACATCTGAACATGAAGATTTCTGGTTTGGTTTGGTTTTTTTGTTTTGTTCTGTTTTTTCTTTGTTGTTGTTGTTGTTGTTTTTATAATTTTATTTATTGAATCACCGTGAGAGCAGTTAGTTACAAAGCTTTCGGGTTTAAGTCTCGGTCATACAATGAAACACCCGTACCTTCACCGGTGCCCATTCTCCACCCCCAAAAACCCCAGTATACCCCCATCCCACACCCCCCCACCTGTGGGGCAGATGATTTTCACATTACTCTCTCTCTACTTTGATTACATTCAATATTTTGACACCAGACCCACCATTATTCTTCAGGATTTTACCCCAACACTCAGATCTGCCGAAAAGGCAACAGTAGACAATTTGTTTTCTATTGATGGTTATGAAAAACATATGATGTCGTGTGGCTGCAGTAGTGGCTACGTGATTTTGAAATTCCGAAATTTTAACAATTAAATCTGGAGGAATTTCTGCCAAAACCTGCTGGATTCTGAGATTTGTTTCTGAGTCTCTGGGATCATGGCCGTTAAGCAGCTTGATCAGGAGCCAGAGAGGCCTTTCGTGTGTGGCGACTTGGGGTCTTGCTGGGGTGGGGAGGAAGGGGCCGGCTCCACCCCCATCCCGTGAGTCCCCTTGTGTCTCGTCACTGTGGGCCCAATCCTGACCGTCCAATTGCCTCTGGCGGATGGCAGCCACCAAGCCGCCTAGGGGGAGCAGGTGGAGGGATTTCTGGTTTTCAGTTTTAGTCTAGAAATGATTTTTTCTGAGACTACCATAGTACTAAACCTGAGCAATCTAGGTACTGTTATCTTTTTCTTTGGGTGGGGGAGGGTGGCCACACCCAGCAGAGTTCAGGGCTTACTCCTGGCTCTGCACCAGCTCTAGTCCTCATGATCTTAATTATAGCAACCTATAACCTCTTTATTCATAGGATTTTAAGACAAGAGATGTTACTGATGATGTGAAAAATATTGTAAGATTTGTGCAAGAACATAGTTCATCACAAGAAAGGAGAAATACAAAATATGCAGGTCCTTCTGGGAGATTTACCATGAATATGCTGGTTGATATTTTCTTGGGTAAGTTATTTGTTTTATTTGAGTTATGTAAGTTAAAAATTAAACATCTAAAAAAATTCATTAAAAAGTACATAGAAAGTCGAAGAAATGACAGAAGGCCTAGAGTTGATGGTTTACAATGTGGGAACCTGCCTTCAGTCCCTTGAATCATTTGGACCCCTGAGCACCGAGCTAGAAGTAGTCCTCACCCACTACAAGTTATGGCTTCAAAACCAAAAAATATATCATTACATTGGGAAAGATTTTTTCTTTAGACTTTTTTCTTATAGAATTTAGGAATATCTCAATAATAAAAGTGCCTTTTTCACTTGTATGAGACTGGGCTCAATCCCTAGCACTTTCCCCGCAAAAAGGGTTTTCAAAAAAATATTAGCAGTTTTTGAAAGAACTCTTTTTAAATCACTAAGATGAGTTTTCACATTTGAAAAAGAATGAAGCAGGGCCGGAGCAATAGTATAGTAGGGAATGCACCTGCGTTGGACACATCCAGTCTGGGTTGATCCCCCAGCACCTCGTGGTCCCCCAAGTCTGCCAGAGGTTACAGAGCCAGGGGTAAACTTCTGAGCACTGCCAAAACAAACAAACGAATGAATTGGATATGATTTTATCTGAGTGGGCTCTGACTTCCTTGGAGATTTACCCATTGACTAACTTCTGGTTCAAAATGGCAGTCTGGGCATAAAACTTCAGTGTGTCTGTCTCTTTCTCCCTCCCTCCTTCTCCCCCCCCCCCACTTTATTCCTCCCCCTCTTTCCCTCCTTGAGGCTTGTTAAAATTAAATAAAGGTGGCTGGGAAATAGCTTAAAGGGTGGGTCCCAAGTTTGGCAAGTCTGGCACCACATGGCCCCTGGAATACCACAAGAGTGCTCCACATGTGCACACGCACCACTGCCACTGCCACCAGCACCAGGGAGCCCAAGATTTAAATGATCTGTCTGAGTGCTAGCTGTGTGTCTCCAGGGTTGCCCATGGGTCCCCAGGTACTGCTAGGGAGGTCCACACAACCCCAGAAAGGACTTTGGAAGGGCCAAGGAGATAACTCAAGTGGTCAAGAATATGTCAAGCATGTAGAAGACTCTGAATTCAATCCCCTAACATCAGCCTCTGCCCCCCCAGGGGGGATAAAAAAGACCCTGAGTTTGAGTACCATTATTTCAAGGTCTTGGAAGTACTGCAGGTATAGTTGGTGGTTCCTGAGCACCCCTAGGGATGTTTCTCACAACACTGAAAATGGTGATGATGATTGAGAGGAAATAAAAGATAGATCAAACCCATAGCGGTACGGAGAAGTAGAGAGAGAGAGACCATCATGAGGTTAGAGGTTTTAATGAGAGCTTCCTTTCCTTCGTGCAAAGCATATGCTCGGCCCGTTGGGCTGTCTCTCTCACCTCTGTTTGCAATTTCATAACCACCAAATTAACAGACTTTGTAAAACATAATGCATGATGTTTCAATAGTTATCATTTCTTTAATACTCAACCTTTAGATAATATATACAGTTATTCCAGCTGAGGGAGCAAGTCTTAGAAGGATTTCTCTAAAACCTGCCCCATTGACTGATCTCAGCCCATTAGACACAGCAGCAACATAAGTTTTGAAGTTATAACTTGCACAGTGAGAGTCAGACTTCCTCTTCTATCACTCCAGCAAACTATTTCTCCTATGCCTCTCCAGTTAGCTGAGTAGAAGGCTCTGAAAATGGACTCTACAGGCCCACTTGGCTGTAGATACCACAAAACGAAGTCAGCATTTTAATTTGGGGGAATAGGAAGTGGACCATACCTGGCAGTGCCAGGGATCAAACTGGGATCGGCTACAGGCAAGACACTTGCCTTAGCCCTTGTGCTGTCTTTCCATTCCCAGCATTTTAATATCGACCAGTTTGTTGGGGGTTAGGGCTAAGTTTCCTAACTCACACTTTCTCCCCCTCTCCCTTCCCTTTATCACCCTTGTTACTGTCTTTGGTTAACCTCAGCTGTGGTGTTCATGTACTTAGTTGCTGTGCTTGCTGGGCATTGCTTGTGAATTACTCACTTTGTTGTGGCACCAGGATCATACTGGGTAATGTGTCAGGAATCCAAGATAATTTTACAGCTGCAAGGGAGACACTGTGCCCCAGAGACACATCCTGTAGCCCCAATACTGCTTTCTGTTTTTCGCCCCTTCTATTCCCTTCTCTTTGGAAACACACATGCACACTATCCAGTATTAAGACGTTTTGTTGGGGCTGGAGCAATAGCACAGCAGGTAGGGCGTTTGCCTTGTACGCAGCCAACCCAGGTTCAATTCCTAGCATCCCATATGGTCCCACAAGCACCCCCAGGAGTAACCCTTGTGCATCGCTGGGTGTGACCCAAAAACAAAAAAAAAAAAAGACTTATTAGTGTGGGCCAGACCCAATGTTAGTGTTTTGGCCATACCCAGTGGTACTCAGGACTTACTCCAGGCTTTATGCTCAGGGATGATTCCTGGTGGGATTTGGGGGTCCATATGGGGTGCCAGGGATCGAACGTGATTCAGCCAAATGCAAGGCAAGTGCTCTAGCCTCTGTGCTATCACTCCACCCCTGATAACTTTTTAAAATAACTCTAGCTAGGAGAGATAGTAGGGTACTTGCCTTGCATGCGGCTGACGTGGGTTCAATCCTCAGCATTCTATATGATTTTCAGAGTCCCACCAGGAGTGATTCCTGAGCATAGAGCCAGCATTTACCCTAAGAACCATTGGGTGTGGCCCAGAAACCAATAAAAATAAATAAAATTTTTATTTTATTTAAAACAACCTCTGGCTAGTTGTCTTTTCTCAGAGAAATATACTGTACACATGCTTTTTTTATCCAGTGTGCCTCATTATGGACTTTTTTCAAATATAAAACATGACATATAACATTGTTTACTTTCAGGTATACAGCGCAATGATTTGATACTCATATTTTTTGTGTGTGAAATAACCACTCTAATTGAACTTAGTCTCTTGAGAGAGTTTTGATGTATCTGCATTCACTAATCAGATTTATTGTTCCTTCTTATTAGGAAGTAAAAGTGCAAAAATCCAGTCTGGAATATTTGGAAAGGGATCTACTTATTCACGACACAATGCCGAAAGACTTTTTAAAAAACTAGTGCTTGATAAGATTTTGGATGAAGACTTATACATCAATGCTAATGATCAAGCAATTGCCTATGTGATGCCTGGACATAAAGCTGAAGCTGTACTAAATGGGCATCTAAAGGTATGGGGGTTTGGGTGAGTTGATTGGTGTTTGGTTTTCGGGTCCACACTGAGCTCTGTGCTCAGGGCTTATTCTTAGCTGTGCACTCAAGATCCCTCTTGGGAGAGCTAAAGGACCTGAGCTTGGCGGGCAATGCCAGGGATTAAACCCAGATTAGCTGTGTGCAAGGCGAGTACCCACTATCCTATCTCTCCAACCCCTAAAGGTATGGGTTTTTTAAATGATTATCTCTCAATGTCATTTTCTGAAGTTTTTGAGTACCGGGGTGTGTGTGTGTGTGTGTGTGTGTATGTACTGTCCTACTCTGTTCCATATAGTTTGGAAAAAATCATAATGTTGAACCCACCTGTGGTGCTTGGGTCAAAATGATTTTTTTTTCTTTTTTTTTTCTTTTTCTTTTTTCTTCTTTTTTTTTTTTTTTTTTTTTTTGTTGTTGTTGTTGTTGTTGTGGGACAATGGGCAAACACACCTGAATACCTGGACCTGGCAGTGTTCAGGAAGCCATGTAGTTCTGGGTATGAAAACCAGAGCTTCATATATTCAAGGCATACTCTTTGCCTCTGAATACATTAAACGATACCTGTCACTAAATGATCATACATTCATTATAAAAGTATTTATTAAGCTACTCTGGGACTGGAGAACTAGGACAGAAGTTAAAAGTGCTTGCCTTGTATGGGCCCGGTACCACTTTCATCCCCAATGCCAGATATGGTCTTCTAAGCACTACTGGATATGGCTCAGACTCTTCCCCGGCTCCCCAGAAGAAACTGTTCTATGCCAGAGGGTCAAGAATTAGAGACTAGGGGCTAGAGTGATAATACAGCTGGTAGGGTGTTTGCCTTGTGTGTGGCCAACCCATGTTTGAATCCCAGCATCCCATATGGTCTCCTGAGCACTGCCTGGAGTAATTCCTGAGTGCAAAGCTAGGAGTAGCCCCTATGCATTGCCGGGTGTGACCCAAAAAGCAAAATAAAAAAGAAAGAAGTAGAGACTAACAGTGTATGTGTCCCCTGTTCCCAAGGAACATTCTATTTGTCATATAATAGAAATACAAAAAAAGAAAGAAAGAGATGCGGTTAACCATTAGATACTGGGTTCATGTGTGCATGCACCCATGCCTCTGATTTCTTTTTCTCTTACAAAGGTAGACTTTATGGAAACAGAAAATTCTACCAGTGTGAAGAAACAGAAAGCTTTAGTGGCAAAGGTATCTCAGAGGGAAGAGATGGTTAAGAAATGTCTTGGAGAACTTACAGAAGTCTGCAAATCTCTGGGGAAAGTCTTTGGAGTCCACTATTTTAACATCTTTAATACTACTACTCTGAAGAAGCTTGCAGGTAGGTGTGTAAGTGTGATTTTCCGTTAACTTGGCATAAATTAATACGCCAAAGGTTATTCTTGTTTAAGAAACTTTGTAAGTATATAAAGATATTCTCAGTGACTCTTACTTTTATTTAATCTCTGAATTGAAAGCTTTGGAAACAGTTTGAACATACTTGAGATAAGTATTTGAGGGTAGTGGGGTGGTGAGCAAGGGACTGTGTAGTGCCAAGGATTGAGCCAAGGGCTTCTGCATGGAAAGCATGCTCTCCAACCATGGTGCTATCTCCACAGCCTGATAAAATATGTTCTCTTAGGTACATATAATACTTAATTTGAACATCTGCTATAATTTTGGAGGGGACCATTGTCAGTGTCACTGTCCTCCCGTTGTTCATCGATTTGCTCGAGCAGGCCCTGTAACGTCTCCATTTTGGGACTTGTTACTGTGTTTGGCATATGGGCGAGATTATTTTGGTAGCTTGCTGGGCTCTCCGAGAGGGGTGGAGGAATCAAACCTGGCTCGGCCGGGCTGGCTGCGCGCAAGGCAAACACCCTACCACTGTGCTGTCACTCCAGCCCTCACTGTCACTGTCCTCCCATTGTTCATCGATTTGCTCAGAGACCATAGGACCATAACCTGACCTTTTAGGTACTACTCCTGGTATGATTTGCTCGGTGACCAAAGGATCATAACCTGACCTTTTAGGTACTACTCCTGGTCTGGTGTCCAGGGGTTGTTCTGACACTGCTCAAAGGACCATTTGTCATGCTGGGTTCAAACCCAGACCTTCTGTTTGCCAAACATGCGTTCCAGCCCATTAAAGTATCTCACTGGCCTTGTCATTTGTGCTTGTTTCGGGACCATATCGGCTATGCTTAGAGCTTACTCCTGGTTCAACAACATTCAGGGATCATTACTAGAGGGCTCAGGGACCATATGTGGTGCCAAGAATAGAAGACAAGTTGGCCACTGAAAGCAAGCACCTTACCTGCTATCTTATCTGTCTCTAATTTTAATTTTATAGTTCCAATGCTGGGTATTAGAATATGGTTAATTGTTATCTCTTAACACCAGATGTCACTTGGTGATCTTTGTGTCCATCTGTTATTTACTGCCTTATATTGTTTTGCTATATTATGTACAAATGCCTTCGCAATGAGAACAAAATATACAAAATGTACAAAATGCCCTTTGCAAAGTTCCTTACAAAAAGAAATTGTTTCAGGCTTTCCTGGATCTGGATTTAATATACTGCTGTGTCTTTAGACCTGAGTTATTTCCATGGCTTAGATTACCTCAGACTGGAGTTGTTAGGTTGTTCTCATGATTGATTGACCAGTGTGCATCACCTTCACTTCTCCATAAAATATTAGAGCCACCACTTTCTCTCTTTTAGTCCTACTCCACTCCTTGGGTTGCTGGTAGCTAGTTTTCATCAGCTCTAAGGTGCCGTCTATTCTAAGACACTTTTTGGTTTGGGGGAACCACACCCAACAATTCTCAGTGGTTCTTGCTGGCTCTGTACTTAGGAATCACTCATAGAGTTGCTCAGGGAACCACATGGAATGTCAGGGGTTGAACCTGGATTGCTTGTGTGCAAGGCCAACACCCTTCCTACTGTACTATCGCTCCAGCCCCTAAGACACTATTTTTTTATGCTGGGACTCTCAGGTGGTGCTGTTGGCCTTCAGCTGTCTCCAGTGGTCCTCAGGAAGCTGTGCAATGCCACGGATCAGACCTGGGCCATATGCATGCCAGGAATGTGCCCTATCCCTTTGAGCTCGCCCTGACCCCAAGACATTATCATTTTGTGGACTATTATGAAAGAAAAAAGTTCTTGTTAAACTATGACACAGTGCTTCTACTGATAAAATTGTTTTTTACTTATTTGGATATAGATTTATATCATAAGTGCGTATATGAGAAATGTACGAAGTCAACGTAAGTTGATAATAAGTACTCATAAAATTTACATTTGGGGCTAGAGAGATAGTGCAGAGGTTTTGCACTTGCCTGGTATCTCACCAACCCCATTTTGAATTTCTGGCACCACATATGGTCCCTGAGCACTGCCAGGTATAGTCAGATACCTTAACCTCTGTACCATATTTTCCGGCCCAACATTTTAAATTTTTTTAAAGAGGTTTGCTCAAAACTACAATAGCACTCCAGATAAAAAAACAAATTATATCTGTGTCTGCATTTCTGCTTGCCTCTCCCAATTTTTCTTCCACTAACCCCCTTCATAAACCTGCTGGTCTCTCCCACAGGTCTGTTCTTTTTCTTTAAATACAGAAGTGGAAACGATGTGGGTGTTTTCTCTTTTTTAATTGTGGAGGCCACACTTTACATTCCTCGAGGGACATCAGGGCCTCACCTGAGTACCAGTGGGCCAGATGGTGCCCGTTTTGAAATGAAGACCTCCAATGTAAAACATTGTGTTCTACCACTTGTGCCAGATTCCCATCAAAAACACAGGCATTCATTATCACTGCCCCACTTTCTGATAACCAGTACATTATAACCTCCAAAGTTAACCAGGATAGGGGCTGGAGCGATGGCACAGAGGGTAGGGTGTTTGCCTTGCACACAGCTGACCCAGGTTCGATTCCCAGGATCCCATATGGTCCCCCAAGCACCGCCAGGAGTGATTCCTGAGTGCAGACCCAGAGTAACTCTGAGCATCACCGGGTGTGACCAAAAAAAAAAAAAAAAACCAAAGTTAACCAGGATAAATCTCTCTTCTGAGCACTTCTCTTCTGAGCACTTCTAACTCACTGCCTCCCTGCTTGATCTGACAATATCCCCAAGCCCGTGTCCCCAACTTTCCTCAAAGTATTTTCTAGTCAGTGGCCCAATCATCATAGAGACAACTTGTTTGTAGAAGACCCAACAGACTCCTAGTCAAAACTAAAAAGCGGTGAAGAACAGATTTGGGGTTTTAAGGTGTTTACTGCATAGGGTACAGATTTTGAGGGAGAAGTCAGCTGAAGGGGTGGGGGGGAGCTTCTTGGCAGTCTCACAGCTCAACAAGTTGCATCAGGAGAGCAACCAAGATCTGGTCGATCTCCTGGCCACCTTACGCAAACCCTACTAGGACCCTGGTGTTCTTTGCCCTCTCCCACTTGGCCCTGACTTCTACACCTTTGTTGGGATTGGATGGTTGACTCTGCCCTGGGCCTCTCCTCGCCTCTGTGGTCACTGCCTGCCCTGTGGAAAATTGGCCCCTGTGCCTGGTGGCCTGCAGTTAACAAGCATGTGCTGAGGATTGGATAAACTTGAGTTCAGCGGTTTTTCTACGGGTGGTAATTTAAACTCCTAATTTTATGTCCATGCACAGAATCTTTATCTTCGGATCCTGAGGTTTTGCTTCAAATTGACGGTGTTACTGAAGACAAACTGGAAAAATACGGCGCTGAAGTGATTGCAGTGTTACAGAAATACTCAGAGCAGGCATTGCCAGGTTCAGTATACATCCAGATACTCCTGTTCCAGTGTTAAGCGATGCACCTCCCCGGCTTGGAAGTGTGCAGTTTTTGAGTCTGTGTCAGTGTCTCTAGCCTTGTTTCACCGATGTCCGAGTGATCAGGGCAGGCCCCTCTCAGACCCCCAGGGGTTGCCGTTCCCCGAACCTGCTCTCTGTGGAGCGCTGAAGGATTCAGGCACCCCGGGTGGAGCCCACATCAGTCACCAGCTCTCGGTGTGATCCTTGGCAGGCCACATGACTTCTGTTTGCTTCAGTTTCCTTATCTGAGGAGTGAACATGATATCTAACAAGCATGTCTAAAGATAAAATTTAAAGAGTGGAGTTGAAATGTTTTGGAAAAACGAGCATGTAATCGGAATGCTAGATAGTCTTATTGTTATTGGCTGTCGGAAGAATCTGCCCAGAGTTAGTGCATCATTAGCAGACGTTCCCAGTGGCGGCTTTAGGCCCGTCACCTCGCACCTAATTAGGTGCCTCATCACTGAGCTGGCCGAAGCTCCTACTACGGGAAGCGGCAAACAAGGAAAGACTGTGCTGGAGGAGACAGGACACGTGCGAAGGTCGCCTGCCCTCCGGCGCCGTCGTGCAGCAGGCAATCCCGTGGCCGCGCCCGAGAGCTAGCCGTTTCCTGCCAGCCTGGGTGGGGGTGTCTTGTGCAGGCGAATGGAAGGAGCAGGATGAGAAATGCGTGAGCACATGTTTTAGGCGCTCACTCTGCACAGTCATTTTCCATCCATTAACAAAATGCTGAAAAGCAGGATTTAATAAAGCCCTCAGTTTGTCATGATTCTATCCAAAACCTTGTTTTGAATACACTAACAATCTCTTGGTAAGAACTGAACACTTACTTTGTATATAACTTGTCAGAAGAGGATTTTGCCCGCTCAGGACCAGCCGCTGGGGAAACAGCCCTGGGACAGTGAGGGACAAACTGTACCGTTGCCTGTGTGGTCTAATTTGAGGCCACAGCATGCACTGCTGGGTGAAAATGGGTGAGAGCTTTTCACGTCTCTGGAGTCTTCCCTCTAAGGGGGTCAGCACCTGAAGCCGCTGCCTTGTGGACAGTGCAGTGCTGAGCGGTTAAGGAGCGAGCATGGCACCTTCGGCTTATCAGGCAGCAGGGTTGCACGAAGGGCACCAGACTCCAAGGAAAGATTTTTTCAGAAAATGGAGTTGGGACCGCTGCCGACCTACAGAGAGCTGTCCTGCATTTGTGGTATCTTGGGGTACAAATAGCTGTGAAAATCACCATCTTCTCTGCAAGTGTCGGCTTTTATACAGACCCATTTCTTGTATCGTGCGAGGAATGTTCACAAATAGTATGCAGAGCAGTGAGCTATATCTTGAAAGAGTTAAAAATACGGTCTACAATAGTGCTCCTCGCCCTTCTGCCTGTGCTCTTCCAACACTGTACTTCCTGTGCACCCTGTCCTACGAGTTAGCCCCCTACTCTCACACCAGGGCCATTCACGAAGTCTTCACCTAGGACCCCCTTGGAATATCCTGGGGGTCTAGCAGGGTCAGCATCTCCCCTGGTTGGAAACACTGGTCTCCAATAGTTGCCCTGAGCTGAAGTGAAGAACAAGATAGTTTTATTTTTCTTACATTGGGCTCAAATTTGGCATGTGTAAATTGGTAAATGTTTCATGCAGCATGCTATGCTTTTCAGGGCTGGGGCGATAGCACAGCGGGTAGGGCGTTTGCCTTGCACGCGGCCAACCCGGATTCGATTCCCAGCATCCCATATGGTCCCCTGAGCACTGCCAGGGGTAACTCCTGAGTGCAGAGCCAGGAGTAACCCCTGTGCATCGCCGGGTGTGACCCAAAAAGCAAAAAAAAAAAAAAAGGCATGCTGTGCTTTTCAACTCAAATTGATTACCCTAACAATAACAGGAACTTCGAAAGTAGTACAGAGTATGAATTAACCTTGACATCTCTAGTTAAGTTAGCATGTCATAATGAATTCTGACCTTCTTTCTTTGAAAATAAATTGCTTTTGGGGCTTAATGAAATGAAGATATGTTTTATATCCACTGAGTCCATATCATAAGGAATAGGAAGACCTCCAGGTATGTATTGTATGTCCCTTCTAGACTGTCATTGCACTTAGCAGCGTGGCCTCGCCTGCTTATGTCTGCATTGTCCTTTGTAGCTGAGGACACTTCTGCAGAGATGAACCCTTCCTACAGCAGGGGCCCTGGACAGAAATCCCCTGAAGAGTCTGATGAGGAAGCACCCATATCCTCTCACTACTTTGCAAATAAAGGGAAAAATGAAAGGAAAAGGAAAAGGATGCCAGCCTTCCAGAGGTCTAAGAGGAGGAGAAGTGGTTTCAGTGGTTCCAGAACAAAAGGGTATGTATATTCTGGGGCCAGGGGGCAAAGCAGTTGCACACTCTTTGGATTTCATTCTTATTAAATTGAACTACAATTAAATTTTGCCTCCCCCATCAAAGGAGTCGCATTCAAGGTTTGATCCAGAACGAGTCCCCTTATGTCCATTTTGTTTGGGGGCCACATCCAGTGTGCTCAGAAGCTACTCCCCCTCGTTTTCCAGAGTTGCTCCTGGCAGTGCTTGGGGAACCATTTGGTGTCAGGGATCAAACCTGGGCCTCCTCCCGTTGAAGTAGCTCTCTGGGTCCTGTTTCTAACTTTTAAATTCTACTCGTAAGTTGATATCACTAAAGTTTCCTAGTTTGCAAAATCATTTCTGACTTTTTTTTCATGGTGGGGGGGAAATCTTTGTAGTTGCTCTTTTTGCCAGATTTTGCCTCCTAAAATTCTGCCAGTTAGATACTAGCTTAATAAACACAGGGCTCTATTCATCACCTTTATGGTTCTTTTGGTGCTTACCACCCAGCTTTCCTAGCTGCAGGATCCACCAGCTCCACCTTTGGACTCTCCATCCTCTCTGCCTCTCTGCTACCAGGGAGAGCCCAAACCGCAGCCTTCTCTGCTGTGCAGGCAGCAGCAAAGAGGTCACAAGTGAAAGGTCACTGTTGGTCATGCCTTGTCCCCATGTGGTCCGTGCCATATCAAGCGGAGCCCAGACTCTACCAGGTCTGGTGCTGAGTTGGGCAGCCTCCTTGTTCCCTGAGAAGTACCCTGTGCCTGGACATTTCTTTCACCTGCCATGTGGACAGCGGTGGCCTATACCTGGTAGGACAGACCTATCAGGATAGGGACCACCCTGTTCTCTAGGAGGCATGGCCCCAAATAACTACAGGTTGTCACAGGAATACAGACAAATGGAAGAGGGCCCTCCATGAGCTTTTGCAGGTGACTTTGTTTTTTTGTAGCTTTCTACCTCTTCTCCCCTGGATAATAAAAACAAAAATTGAGTGGGGGAAGAGAAAGCAAAGGCAAATGTTACTAAATTGTCATTTTCTTGTTAAGTCCATAAACAAACATCTTGCATGTGCTAATCAGTCCTTCTGCCAGGGTACAGAAATTAAAGCCATTAGTAAATGTTAGTTTAATTTTGTGGTTTTTAGTGCGCAAGTGACCAGCAGATGTTCTCCTGTGGGGACATTTTCTTATGTTCTCTTTATTCCTCTGCTTTGAGAAACACTCATTTCCTTAGCTGTTCAGAGCAGAGAACGACCTTAAAAGGCATCTGGTCGACCCCCTTGGTTTATGAAGACATTGTCGCCTGGCCTGGAGATGACTGCAAAGCTGGGCCCAGCCCAGCCCACAGGTGGAACTAGGCACTCGCCCACCCTCAGCATCCCAGACTTTTTTCATTCCTGTGCATGTCTGTGGAAATTGCTTAATTATTGTCTCCGCATTTATACTTGTTAGAACAAAGTAAACCATATTTTAGTGCCTATTGCCATTGACTCTTTTACTCTTTTCACAACTTTTATTTATAAGATTGACTGTTCTGTCACTGCTGATCTAATCTAATAAGTAGTAAAGCTCACATTTAAACTACTAAGCCAGTGCTAATTTGTTCATTCTCTCTCTCTTTCTCTCTCTTTCTCTATCTCTTTCCTCCCCCTTTCCTCACTCTCCTTTCTCTCCTCTCTATTTTCCTCTGCCTGTCCCTGTCCCTGTCCTTCTCATCCAGTAATGCATCCTGGCTCTGTTCTCAGAGATCATTCCTGATGGTGCTCAAGAAACCAGGCCAGAGATTAAATCTGGGCCTCTCCCATGCAAAGCATACATTAGCACCTTGTGCTAGGAAGATGCTTTCTTTTTTGGTAGGGGGTCAGTGGAGATTGGGGCTACACCCACAGTGCTAGGTGCTCGGGTATTGAAACTGGATCAGCTGCTTGCTAGGCATGTGCTTCCCCCCACCCCTTCTATCTCTCTGTCCCCTGATGCTTCTTAATTAGTCAAGTGTTTGTGATAGAATATTTTTCTAATTCCTATAGGCTGCCAAAACCAGTATATTGTGATTGTGTTTTTCTCCTTGTTGCGGCCTTTCTGTATCTGCTTTTCATTCAGTTTCTCTCAGAAATACTCGGGAAAATCCTTCCCACGGTCCCCAGCCTGCTCACTTGGTTGAGGCCTGCACAGTGACAGTACCTTTGGTTCTTTGCCAGAGGCCTTACTCCCCACACCTACCTATGTTTTACATCTGCAGAATCACACAATGAACTGGTTGTGTTCAGCTCCAAAAGTGGGAGTGAAGTGAATGGCCAGGTGAAATGGAGGCTGTTGGCAGATTCTTTCTGTAAATCAACAGAAACAGCAGGTTTTTGCTCGCGGCTTAGTTTCTCCACAGGAAGCCCAGCACCAGGGAAACTAGAGGTGGCTTCTCTTTGCTCTGGCAGATCTTTGCCTGTTCTGCAGTAAAACTGCCCTCAAGCAAGTGTGTCAAAATATGGGAGAACCGCTTTTAGCTGTATCTCACCAGAATGTTGTGGAAGGGACCCTAACCCCGCACCCTCCCCCAGAGATGAGTTCAGCCTGACTCAGGTGCAGGGGGAGCACCGCCTGCCTTCACCCGGAGCCTCCTGGTTTCCTTTTCTTGTCTTGTTCTTATTGTTGGGGGGAGAGGAGGGGCATTGGAGAAGTGAAGTAGAAGGTTCTTTGTGGAAGTTTTGTTTGTTTTTCCTGTGGTTTTTGTTTGGAGTCACACCCAGTGCGGGGAGCGGTGTCATGGGACCCTACAGGGCCAGAAAATGAAACTGGACCTTCTGCATGCAAAGCATGCATCATCTCATTGAGCCACATCTCCGACCCCTTATCCCTAGTTTAGTTTTATGAGGCCGGGGGTGAGAGGAACCCACTCTAGCGGTGCTCAGGGAACCTGGTGACCGTTTCTAGCAGTTAAGTTCTGGGACCAAGGATGCAGTGTTGGCGAGCCTGTTGATGCTCAGGGGGCCGTGTGGTGCCGGGGTTCCACCCCTGGATGAGTGCTGAGTCACCACAGTAGCTCATATCCTGCTCCCCCTGCCCACTGGTTTTCAAGGGAGGCAAGAAGCCAGGATAAGTCCCTGCTCTGCTCTGCTCTGCTCCACTCAGCCCCATCTCCACTCACCACAAAGCCACCTTTCCCCGAATGATACAAGAACAGTAATTCCAGGTGTCTGATCTAGGAATTTGAGCCTCAACACAGGGTCATTCTCACTTCCTTGGTTCGGTCAGGACAGACAGGAATATAGACATTGTCTAGAACAGTGTTTCTCAATCTTTTTCCAGCTAGGGCCACCTTCCAACCTTGTGTTCTTCCTGTGCTGCCCCCCCCCACACACACACACACAACACCCATTCTACTGGTTGGCTCCCTCAGTTTTTGCTGTGGCCCCCTTGAAATATCCTGGAGGCCCACAATATGACACCCAGTTGAGAAATACTGGTCTAGAGGACTTGGCTAATCTCAAAGGTCAAAATTAAGAAACAATCTTTGATATTTTCGGCAGACAAATTTAGCACAAATTTGTGTGAAAGGTAGCAGTCCTGGGGTTCAGGTGCTGGCCTTGCATACCGCCCACTGGGGTTTCATCCCCAGCACAATTTATGTCACTCTGAGTACCACCAGGACTGTGAGCTCTGAGCACTGTCAGGCTCTTTCATCCAAAAAAAGGTCGCATTGCAATCCTGTGTTTCTTGAATTATAAAGGAAATTTTGCTGACTGAAAAAAGAATTCTAGGTAGGAAGTACACAAAACCACACAGAACACAGTGGACTGTAGCTCTCTTCAAGTTATGAGAAAAAAGATGACTAACTTTTGATTTCATTTGACATTTATTTTCCTTTGTCACGTTTCAGGAGTTCTACCACATGCAGAAAGCCATCGTCAAGAACTAGATCCACCAACAGTTCTGGATCCCCTTCAGCTTTTCAGGCGGCATTGGGAGCCAATAGGAAATTGGGGATTATGGCTCCACCAAAGCCCATAAATAGACCATTTCTTAAACCTTCGTATGCATTTTCATAACAACCAGATCTCAATGTACACGGATGTTCTTTCTTGTTTGTCAGCATCTGACCATCTGTGAATATAAAGCTGTTCGTTTTGTTTTGCGATTTGTAATTTTTACCCGTATCTATTAATATTTAAATAAATGCTTAGGGTGACAGTTCTTATTTTTAAAATAAATGTTTTCTTTTGAATAAGCCTGATTTGCTGCCACTGCAAACCTTGTGGCCGTTTTTTTTTTCTCAGAATGTCTGAGGCAGCAGCTGAATCATCTCAGTAAAATTCTCAGTACAATGTGAAACAGAAGCCGAAGAAGGTGTGTTAGGACACAAAACGTAAAATACTTTGGAGAAAACCGTGGAAATAAAATTAAGGCAAGTGACAAAGGAGTTGGAAAAAAAAATATGACAAAGGATTGATATGTATAATATAGAAGAGACCCTTTATTTATTTTTTTTGTAATTTTATTTCATCAGCCACAAACAGAAGTACTACAATTTTGTATCTAAATTACAAGAGGAATGTTTTTGGGTACTTAATATATCACTGTCACTGTCCTCCCTTTGTTCATCAATTTGCTCGAGCGGCCCAGTAACGTCTCCATTGTGACAATTGTTACTGTGTTTGGCATATCGAATACGTCACGGGGGGCTTGCCAGGCTTCGTCGTGCGGGCGAGATACTCTCGGTAACTTACCGGGCTCTCCAAGAGGGGTGGAGGAATCGAACTCGGGTCAGCCATGTTGGCCTCTTGCAAGGCAAACGCCTTACCTGCTGTGCTATCGCTCCAGCCCAGAAGAGACCCTTTAAATTATTGAGAAGGTGAAAAATCAGCAGAAGTGAACAATGAATGTGAATCAGCTCTTCTCAGAATTAAAAATACAAATGGCCCATAGTAAGTGAAAAATGTTCTATCTCCCTAGAGACGTAAATTAAAGCAATGTGATGCCATTCTGTGGCCATCAAATAAGTGTTTGACATTTGAAAATGCCTCAATTCTAGGGTCAGTGCGAGAATATGTAAATGATGCAGAGCCTGGACTGTGGAGAAGGCTTAAGTGCAGAGCACGTGCCCAGTGTATGTCAGGCCCTGGGTTTCATTCCCGGTTCTGCATGCCACCACCCCACCCAGGCACTGTGATGAGTAGCCTTGCTGGCCCCCAAGTGCTATAACTCCTTGCTTTACCAGGACCAGCCTTTGGAGGGGGCACAGCCAGCAATGCTCAGAGATTAAACCCAGGTCAGCTATGTGCAAGGCAAGTTCCCCAGCCGGCCCTTATTTTTAAAAGAAAATACCTGAGAGGGCTAGGGCACATGCTTTGCATGCAAGAGTCTTTTAATCCCCAGCACCTATTGGGTGCCCAAGCATCATCATGTGCAGGCCCCCTCTTCCTAGAGCCTGAATGCTGCACATGTGTCAGCCCACTAAATTGACTCTCTAACCCTTAGGGTGAAATCTTCACACCTTTTTGGAGCTTCTATGCCTCATTTTTAAAAATGGCCCCCAGCTTCTGGTAACCTTGGCAGGGGGGCTTAGCACCTACTCTAAGGCGTGGTGCACACCCATGTCAGCCCATCTGCCACTAGGGCTTTACCTTCCAAATCTGACAGACCCGCCAGACAAGAGACAGCCTTGGACTGCGGAGCTGAGCGAGGCTGGACTCATGACCTGAAGGGTCTTCTGGAGTGAGGAGAGTAAACAGGACAGTCGCCCATGGTCAAGGCTGCTCAGATTTAATCTACTGGCTGCCCACCAGGAATCTGAGCCCCTGAGATCTCGGACTGGCAAAGCCAGGACAGTCCAACTCTGAAAAGCAAAGGCGAGACCAAAGCAGACTGCTTGATAGATCAGGCACCACCAGCAGGCACAGAAATTGCCAGCAGCTGCCTCCAGATCAGCCACCAGACTTAACTCCCGCCAGAGGCCGCTCTGTTGACAAGGGACAATCTCAGAAGGGCCAGAATTCACAAAGACGGGATCTCTGCCACCAAGGACAAATGGTGACAGCAAAGCCAATTCAGACTGGGCTTTCTAGGAGCGTCAAATCTATCTCCAGTTTCAAGGAAAAGATAGTACCAGGAGTGCCAGCCCTGGCCTAGGTCCCATCAGTGGCCCACCCTTCTCTTCCTGGAGATAAGAAGGTCTGGCGGGTCAGGGTGTAGACTCCTGTGAGAATCACTGGAGACCCCATTTTTCTTGCTTACCTGTGGAACAGCAAACATGGAGAGCCTGCACAGAGCCACACTGTTCCGGGAACTTTCACATTATTTAATTCACTCCTTGAGCCTCTCCAACAGCCCTCAGAGGCAAACCCATGACATGAACCTCTTTTATGCGGAAACCAGAATTCAGAGCGGTTACGAAATAGACCCAGTCCACATGGCTCGAAAGTGTTGTAATAAGTAGGGTAACAAACATCTGGGTTTGTCCCAAGGAGGCCCAGTTTACATCTGTTGCCTTGGCGTAATAAATGCTCCCTGGCCAGAGCTCAGCAGGCTTTGATCTCCTGGCACCTCCTGGTCACCAAGCACCACAGGAGTGGCCTCCACCACCAAGCACCCCCAAGGATGTTCCTCCCCCGCCCCTTCCAGAAAAGGTGGCTGCCTTTCATTCTCAAAATGTTCCAGTTCGGATGATAGTTGATAAGGAAACCAGGTCTGCACTGACCCCCCACAATCCCACCTGCTCTCTCAGCTTCATTTTCTATGGCTACCCAGCGTGGCTCCAGGGAAAAAGCTGAGATGATGGGACCGCATTGCCCAGATGGAGAATTGGACACTGCCGAGCCCCTGCCCTTCAGAGGCTGATGAAGCTGCTCTGGGCCCCCTAAGGAAGCACCCCAGCACCGTGGATCCTTCCTGTGGACACTTTGTGAAGATCAGGATGATGCCCCAGCCAGGGTCAGCAGTCATGGCCTCTCAGCATCCTAAGGAGTCCACTGGTAATGTGTCTGGAGGGCCCTGCCGGTGCTCAGCTGCCCATGCTGGGAGAAAGGTCCCTTTCCTGTTGACACCGCTGGGCCAGGAAGCCTCAGCCACTAGAAAGCTCCTGCATCCCCCCCAAACACTCTCCTGTGCTTCCCACCACCACCACTGTCACCCCCCACACACACACACACACACACACACACACACCCGCAATGACCTTTCCCAGCTGTACCTGTTCTCTGTTGTCAGGGGAGGAGGAGAGGTGGCGGGCAGAGAGCAGGACACGGGATTCTTAGGGCCAAGGCTGTAAAAGACGAGGTTTGGGGACTGTCACGTCCAGCTCCATGCTGCCACCATCTCACAGAGGGTTCGGTGATGCGATGGCTCCCTGACCTTCCCAGAATGCAGGAGTTTGCCCAGGGGTCATACAAGTGGCAACCACCAGCCTGGCCTGCCAGGGGTCTGGATGTCCCCATGATGGCCAGCCTCTGACCCTTCGTCCAGCTGACCAGAGTGCCTGCTTCCCCCAGGAAAGACTCTTGCAGGGGGAAGGGCCTGGAGGACCCCCAGGACCTGCTGTACACTGACTTTCCTCTCTCACGAGTGTTGGAGCTTCTTGTCGAGATTCTTGTCAGTGTCCACTGTGGTTTCACAGTTGGTGCCAGAGTCTACCGTGGGCACCACCTGCTCCCTCCCTATCCATGGAGGCACAGCTTTGGTGAGCTCCTTGGCTTTGCTGAGCCTCAGTTTCGTCGTGTCCGCTTGATAAGCTGACTGCCATGGCACCCTGTTAGTGGAATCTTCCACAAACCCTCATGGGTGTAGCACAGCCTGTTGGTGGCAGTGAAGGAGGGAAAAGAAGCACTCAAACCTTTGAGGAGAGGCTGGTCAACAGGAGCCAGTATGCAGTGGGAGCCCAGGTAAGCCCTGGTTTAGTCAGGGCGGGAGAAGTTGCAGCCTTGAGGGAGGACTGAGAAGGGGATTGGAAGTGCGGAGACATGGGCAAGCGGGTGGCACTGAGATGGAACGTGGCCTCTGAGGACCTCCCTGGACTCAGGGAACACTTGGGAGTAAAGGACAAGCCAGCGTGTCAAATGTGCGGGTGCCTCCCTGGGGAAAACTGAAGCAAAGGAGAGGCATGATGTGTGGGAGTCCGGAGAGCCTTGGCAGATCGGGGCGTCCAATGCAGAGCAGGGGAGCCAGAGAGTAAGGGCAGGCCATTGCCTTGCTTGCAGTATATCTTGGTCCCCTAAGCCCTGCCAGGAGCAATCCCTTAGCACAGAGCCAGGAGTAAGTCCTGAGTACTGCCAGGTATGCCCTCCCCACCAAAATGTGTGTGTGTGTGTGTGTGTGTGTGTGTGTGTGTGTGTGTGTATTTGATATTTGTCTAGACTGGTCTCCCCAGGAGAGCATAATAGGAGGATGGAGATGGGTTTTGGTGATCACTGGATCATCTTGAAGCCCACTTGTCCTTGCAGACCTATGCAGGGGTAGTCACGTGGTTCCTGAGGGTGTCCCTCCCTCACCACCTCTGATTTAGCTAAGACAGGTGAAAAGTAGTCCTCTGGTTGGTTGTATTGGTATTCACTTAGATGGACTTTCTGTGAGTGTGTATGTTACTGTCTGGTCATGAGTGTCTTACTCGTGCTCAGAGAAGTACTCTGTTATCCCATTTACTGCTTTGTAAAGGCTTCCTGTACCATGGACACAGATTTGCAGACTTCCTAATGTTTGTTTCCAAGCTCAGATCCGCTCACTGCTGCAGAAGGCTGGGGATGTAGGTGGGGGGCAGAGAGGCACGCAAAGATTGGAATAGAGACCAGAGTCATTCCTACCTTGCAGAGCTTCAAATCTAACTTCAATCCGCTTCAAATCTAACTGCATAGGGCCAAGAGGCTCCTGCTCCCTACGAAGCTACTTAAATTGACACAGTTTCTGGGGCCAGGGCCACAGCTCAACAGGCTAAAGCGCATGCTTTGCGTGTTGAAGCTCCAGCCTCAGTCCTCAGCACCCTTTGGTCCCTGAGCACTGAGCTAGGAGTAGCCCCAACTGTCAGGTGTGACCCACCATTTGTGGGGCTGATGACACAGTTCAGGAGTAAAGCACATGACTTACACGTGTGAGGCCCCGAGTTCCATCCCCAAGGCATTGCACTGGGGCCGATATTGACACATTCTCTGACCCAGGGCGGAGGGGTGGGGTTCCTGCTCTGTGCCTCTCAAACTCTCTCATAATGCTGGTACCACCCTCCTGTCCAGGCCCCTCACTGAGAATCCCTTGGTGGAGCCTCGGAAAGGGCACCTGGACAAGCACTCGGGAAAAACATAAATTCCATCCAAGCTGCGGGGAATTCTGGCTCCAGGCATTGTGCAGGGCCTTGCCTTCTCCCCTCTGTCAGCATTGCTTTCCCACAGGTGAAAATGAGGGGGTTAGACACC